TTAATATGTCCAATGGTGGAGATAGTACAATAAGACATACGCATGGACAACATTTTTGATGTTTTTGCACATCTGGTCAAAACATTTTTTTTTTCACTTTGACTGAGTTATTGTCACATGTCTATTTAGATCAGACAAAATTCTGTGAAAATGTTTATCACCGAATTTCGGCCGACTGGTAATCTCTATAGCCTGCCTGCAGTGCTAGCAGCTAGTTGGCAAATAGTTATATAAAGAGTAGCAAAACTTGCTACTAGCCACCACATAAATGTAAAAAAAAAAGCTGTAAAGTAGTGAGGGGAAATGTTCAGCCCCATGCCCCTCACTCTTGGGTATCGTGTGAGGGACTTTAAATAAATAAAAGGGGGCAGAGAGGTAAGGGCTTGTCTTCTGCTTTTGCAAACCCTCCCCTCTAACCACACCCAGACGTTCTGTGACTGTCCAATCACAGACTTCACAATGCAGCTCAATTATACATTTTTGCAAGGCAGGCGCTCTGAGGTATTGCCTGCCTGATTGATGCCCTGGGGTTGTAACAATGTTAATTTATAAAAGTGTACATTTCTATTAACCCCTTAATGCCGTTACGGCGTTCTATGCCGTCCCCATTTAAATGGGCTTTAAAGCCGTTGCGGCGGCATAGAACTCCGTAACGGCTTTCTGCCCCAGGAGCTCGGCGGTACTTACCTCCGCTGCGATCCTCATTGGGAAGACTGCCTGACAGCCCAGACAGCCCTTCCCCGGCAAGTCAGGTCCCTGGGGCCATGTGATCGCTCTCAAAGAGCGATCACAAGGCCCGCCAATAGCAGGCTGTGGATCTTCCAGCAGGGGGACTGTCTGAAATGTCCCCCTGCTGGTGGGAAGTATACATTTTTTTAAACATGTTTAAAATAAATTACAAGTATTTATGTATAATATATATACATCTTATATAAGTAACGTCATATGTATTGTATTTTAATGTTAATATAAGTACATATATTAGTATTAAAATACACTTAGAATGACGTTACATATATAAGATATATATATATTATATATATAATACATCTATACAAAAAAAAAATAAGTATAGCTGCACTCACGGTTGGAGATAAAATCTTCAATGCTTTATTTAATTCATTAAAATAGGATCGACGTTTCAGTCCAGCTTGTGGACTTTCCTCAGGATCAAGACACAAAAGTCCACTTGTGCATGAATAAAATCAACATTTTAAGATTAGATTGTATGTTTTATTTATTTTTATCCAGCTACCTGTAGTGTGTCCAATAAAGTGTTTTTGCATTACTTCCTGCATCCTGGAGTATTTAAAGCAACAGAAACCCAGGAACACAGAGGAGATCTAGCTTGAAGTTCGATTGATACATACATTGATTTCATATGCTTCTAGTCTGAGCCAGCTTTTCTAAAGTGGCTCATGACCATGTGAGTGTAACCTATTATCATTCAAGTTACATCCACCTGCTACGTTATTACCCTTTGTTGCCATTTCCTTGTTTTTATATTTACAGGAGTGGTTTGAATATTTCCATGTGCAATAAGGGTAACGTGTAATTATTATATTTATTAGTGTGCTCTTACCATTCACATTTTTGTAACACTGTTTGGTTTGATTTTATGTGAATAAGTGACTCACATTGGTGATTGTAGCACCTTATTCTTAACTTTTTAACCTTAATCCTTCTTTATTATTACAAACACACACACACACACACACACACACACACACACACAGAGACTGCCTCCTCACACACACACAGACTGCCCCCTCATACACACTACACTCCTCAGACACACACTGCCCCCTCACACACACACACACTTCCCCTTCACTTACACACACTGCCCACTCACTCACACAGACTGACCCGCCCCCCCACACACACTGCTCCCTCACACACACTACACCCCTGCACACACACACACACTGCACCCCTCCCACACACTGCCTCCTTACACACACTGCACCCCTCACACACACTGCCCCCTCACACACTGCCCCCTCACACACAGTGCCCTTCACGCACACACATCACTTCACACACACAAATGCACACACTGCCCCCTCACACCACCCATCACACACACACAGCACTCTTCACACACTCAAAGCACCACTCACACACACACTACCACCTCACACACTGCACCTCACATACACACACACACACACACTACATGCTTCACACACAAAAACATACACAGCACACTTCACACACACACATAGAAAAAAAACGCACTAGCGCTATTATATTGGTTTCTGCGGCACTGGTAGCCAGTAAGGGAATTTTACCATCAACAAAGATACAAAAGAGGTAGAGACTGCCTCCTCACACGCACAGACTGCCCACTCACTCACACAAACTGCACCTCTCACACACACTGCCCCCTCACACACAGCACCCTTTACACACACACAGCACCTCCCACACACACTGCCCCCTCACAAACGCATACACTGCCCCCTCACACACCACCCATCACACACACAGCACCCTTCACACACACACACAGCACCTCACATACACACAGCACTCTTCACACACAGCACAGCACCCTTCACACACACAGCACCACTCACACACACACATTACCACCTCACACACTACCACCTCACACTCTCACACACATAAACACACACTACATGCTTCACACACAAAAACAGACACACACAGCACACTTCACACACACATAGAAAAAAAAAGCCCTGGAGCTATTATAATAGTTACTGCGGCACTGGTAGGCGGTAAGGGAATTTTACCATCAACAAAGATGCAAAAGTGGGCGGTAGGTATTAAAAGGTTGACTGCTCCTGCTTTAGAGAAACACTCCAAGCACATTCAACAAAACAGTGTGCTGAAGAGGTAATGTTGCTAGGACTTCCTTCACGCCATCTATTGAAAGTAGAAGACTAGAACATGGTGGAATAATTCAGCTTGGCTGAATCAATTCATAAAAACATTTGTTTGGGTAGTTCGTAATTCGTCATCAGGGTGATTCGACTGACAGGGTGATTTTCGGCTATGCAAACAATTCAGAAAATGATTTGGACAAACCAGAAAGGCTACAAAAATAGGCTAATCAGTGTACTACAAAATATAAATATTATGTATATATTTCCAGTACACAGGCGCATTTATTTTGCACTATTTTGTACACAGATCAAGTGGGAAAAAGTAACCAACAGATGGAAAAAGAGGAGGAGCAATAATAAAAATCTATATTTATATATTATATATTTAATAAATATATAATATAGAAATATAAACATATTTTTCTGCTACTATGTTTTTCCCTTTGTTGGTCACTTTGCATTTGACCTGTAAACAAAATCAGCATTTAGTAGCTTTTTCCCAAACTATCAATCATCTCTTTTCCCCATCAATCTTCTCTTTCTTTGGTGCCACAGATGGAACAATGAATCACAAAACACACAAATATGATCATCCATTGTCCAATTTTGCTGTTTTGTTATTTTGTTTGTGATATATCTATAAAGCGTTTCAGGGTTACGGAATTTGTATGACCTACCTATCGCCCAAAACTCAGACGAATGCCAGTTAGTTTGAAACGGAAAGCACAAGTCTAATTAGTAGTGAAAACATTTCAGAATAAATATAAAACAAATAAACAAATGCCATGGTTTAATCTTCAGCTAAATAGTCCCACAGAGAGCACTCACTGGGCTTTTGTTCATAAAATCTTAAATTTAATATTACAAATGCGTTCACCATTACGCTGCTATCACGAGGCATTTATCAATTATTTTATATATATATACATTTTGAATGGTTTAACAAATAAAATACATCTCCTTTTGGGTGGGATGTCTGTACAACAAAGTGCTAAAATAAGAATACATAACAGCAGCTCTATACACTTATGTGGAAATACCCTCTTATCCACACCAAAAAATCCAAAGTCTGTAAGCATAAAGGCCCGATTACGGAGACAGTATTTATACACAGGCTCCTTTAAATGTGAGTGTTCTAACTTCACCATCATTATTTTATCATATTCTATGTACCATCTGCACTATATTGTATTTTGTATATGTGCTCCAAGCCTAATTTGTCACCAAGTTACGTGGGGTAAGTTTGCCCCTTTTGCACAAATTTTCTAGCGCTCCACTTACAGGTGTAGGTTTTTATTTATACCACCTTTTGAATGGTTTGTGTAGATATTTTTCATTATGATTTTAAATGAAAAGACCTGAATAAAATCTCTATGAACAATTTCTTTAACACTGGAATTTCAAACACATGATCATAACTTTTTTTTTTTTTTTTTATAATTCTTTATTTTTGTTGTGCACAGATTAACAAACAGCCTCAGTACGCCATAACAGCATTGTCAAGGTATATAGAAATTCAATATGCAATACAAGATGTGACGTTTGTTATTTAGGCAGAATTTTGTTTTAAGGTAAGAAATAGGTATTAAAAGGCTAGTGAGTTCAAGAATAGTAGGCTGAGTAAGTTGAGCTGACAGTTAAGGTTATTCAGTTAGGACATGAATAGTCAAATATGTGTTCTAAAACTTACACATTATTTATAAGAACAGCAAATTTAGTTTAACACATTTGCTAGGCAAGGATAGGCTAATACACCACCGGCATTTACAGTGCCCTTCCAAGGCCAAGGTGATTAACAGAAAACAACGACAACTTAGTGACATGGTAAACCATGAGTTGAAGCACATAACCATTTGCACATTGAGGTGAGGTGGCTGCTATTGGTATATAGCGGGTCTGGTAACTTAGGCACGGAAGGGCATGTTAAGCCCATGTTCAACCGACTCCTGACATTGTGAAGCGCAAGCAATCTGCTAGGCAGTCCTTCAGCGCCTCGAGCACATGTGGAGGCCAGTGATGCCAAGTGGTCACACGGGATCCAATTTTGGTCAGTGTCGGCACCTGTCTCTGTGTCAGTTTGCCTTTCACTGCACCGCGCTGCTTGCATGGTCACCATAGTGGGGGCCTCCCCTCAGTTAGCGTCGATCACCCTAGGTGGCAGTTCAAGCGGTTCCCCTTTCGAGTGCCTCTCCTCCCTTCTGCCCGCTGTGCGTATCGAGGGCTCTTTGTCTTTAGAGTGGGCTTGGTAGCTGCCCTACTTGTGTGGAGCCAGCGCGGTCTCTGCCGCCATTGGCAAACTGTTGGAGGGTCCGAGACCACCCGTTGGACCCGAGGGCACAGGTATGGCTTCACGGGTAAGCATGCTGGGGGGGTAGGGGGTTTGAAGCACTTGTGGGAAGCCTGCATTGCAACTTGTCCCAGAAGCGTTCGAAGAGGGTGTCCAGCCTGGTGTCCAGTCTCGACAGAGCATCGCTGACTGTGAAGACCATACATGAATACGAATAGTTGAGAAGCCCATGTTACATGCGACTGCTTATCATGGCGGTCAGGCCTCACCCCCCCATAACTTATTTTTTATGCTCTGAATGCATAAATGAATTGTGCAAAAAAGTATATTAAAACTTCCATTAGAATAAAAATAATGAAGTGTGTTATTCCTCCAATCCCTCCAATCCCACTGTTTGATATATATGGTTACAATAACCCTAAACTGAACCTTCACTCCTCTGAAAATTAGAGCATTAAATTAAATATTGAATATCACATATAACTTGTATTAACCTATTTATATGTGATGCTCCATTTATTGTTATATTTATATAAAAAAATGTGGAATTACATTAAAATCCAGTTTATTCCAGGCACAACCCAGGCACATAATGAAATGAAATGTACTCTGTATTCTCTCTATGCTGAATATCAGGTGCAAGAATTGCTGAACAGTTGCAGGTTACACAGGTTACACAGTAGCAGGTTACACAGGTTAAAGGAACACTATAAGGTCAGGAACACAAATGCATTCCTGACCCTATGATGTTAAAAACACCATCTAGTCCCCATACTCCCCCCTCTTTCCCCCATTGCTCCCCTATAATATAGTAACAATTTTACTCCTATTTAGTCTGCTGCTGCTGCTGGCTCTGCCTCTGATCTGCCTGCTTGGCTGACATCATCAGAGGCGATGATCTGAGCCGATCACAATGCTTTCCATAAGATTGGCTGAGACTGTCAAGGAGGCAGATCAGGGGCAGAGCCAGCACAAGCCAAACACAGTCCTGGACAATCAGCATCTCCTCCTAGAAATGCATTGAATCAACATAGCTCTGTCCCTCAAGTGTTGCTACTTTCGTGTCTCCCTCCCTCCAAGTCAACAGAGCCTTCATCACCTCTACCTCTCAGGCTTGCTGCCTAGGTGTTCTCTTTGACTCTGACCTCTCCTTCCCTCATGTCCAGTCAATCACCAAATTCTGCCGCTTCCATCTCAAAAACATAAAAAACATCGCTCGCATATGCCCCTATTTGACACTAGACGTGATTAAGGGGCTGGTCCATGCCATTGTTCTTTCTAGCCTTGACTACAGCAATCCCCTTCTCAGTGGTCTTACTTGATCCCAGATTGCACCGCTGCAATCTATAATGAATGAGGCAGCAAGACTCATTTTCCTGTCCACCTGCACCTCCTAAGCCTCCCCCGCCTCCCCCCTCTGTCAGTCCCTATATTGGCCTCCATTTAGCTATAGGGCTCAATTTAAGATTCTGTTGCTTGCTTACAAGTCCCTACATAATGCTGCTCCAACCTTCCTATCCTCCCTAATACACAAATATGTCCCGTCGAGGCCCCTGCGTTCTGCCGAAGAGCAACGTCTATCCTCTGTCCGTACTTCCACATCTGATGCTCTCCAAGACTTCTCCAGTGCTGCACCTTTTCTGTGGAACTCTCTTCCCTTCTCCGTAAGACTTTCACCCAGTCTCCACTCCTTCAGAAAATTTAGAAAATTTTGGTTTCACAGGACACGTTCCACTCAAAACAGGCCTCGCCATGGTCGACCAAAGAAGTTGATTGCAAGTGCTCAGCGTCATATCCAGAGGTTGTCTTTGGGAAATAGATGTATGAGTGTTGCCAGCATTTCTGCAGAGGTTGACAGGGTGGGGGATGAGCCTGTCAGTGCTCAGACCATATGCCGCACCCTGCATGAAATTGGTCTGCATGACTGTCATACCAGAAGGAAGCCTCTTCTAAAGATTATGTACAAGAAAGCCTGCAAACAGTTTGCTGAAGACAAGCAGACTAAGGACATGGATTACTGGAACTGTGGCCCTGTAGTCCAATGAGACCAAAATAAACTTATTTGGTTCAAATGGTGTCAAGCGCGTGTGGCGGCAACCAGGTGAGGAGTACAAAGACAAGTGTGTCTTGCCTACAGTCAAGCATGGTGTTGGGAGTGTCATGGTCTGGGCTTTCATGAGTGCTGCCAGCACTGGGGAGGTACAGTTCATTGTGGGAACCATGAATGCCAACATGTACTGTGACATACTGAAGTAGGGCATGATCCTCTCCCTTCGGAGACTGGTCCACAGGGCAGTATTCCAACATGATAACAATCCCAAACAAACCTCTAAGATGACTACTGCCTTGCTAAAGAAGCTAAAGGTAAAGGTGATGGACTGGCCAAGCATGTCTCCATACCTAAACCCTATTGAGAATCTGTGGGGGCATCCCCAAACAGAAGGTGGGGGAGCGCAAGATCTCTAATATCCACCAGCTCCATGATGTCGTCATGGAGGAGTGGAAGAGGACTCCACTTGCAACATGTGAGGCTCTGGTGAACTCCATACCCACGAGGGTTAAGCCAGTGCTGGAAAATAATGGTGACCACATAAATTATTGACACTTTGGACCCAATTTGGACAGTTTTAAGTAGGGGTGTACTTACTTTTGTTGCCAACAGTTTAGACATTAATGGCTATGTGTTGAGTTATTTTGAGGGGGGGACTACATTTACACTGTTATACAGGCTGTACACTTACTACTTTACATTGTAGCAGAGTTTAATTTCTTTAGTGTTGTCACATGAAAAGATACAATAAAATATTCACAAAAATGTGAGGGGTGTACTCACTTTTGTGAGATAATGTATATATATTACATATATTTTTTTCTATACTGCTAGTATTGTGAAAGTCCAAGAAGGAATAAATGGTAATATGGAAACTGGCAAATATAAAGATGATGATGTTGATCATGCTTCAGATATCAAAGATGCGCTCCCTGCATGGTCCTAGTGACCGCTTCACGCAATGCACTCAGGCTCACGCTATGCTGCCTGGGACAGTTTTATAATAATAGACTTTATAATAGAGCAATGAACTAATCCTATGTTTTTGACTTTTGTAAATTTGCCACTCTATTGTCTATCATTCCACACTTATCTTCTAACACCGCTATCCATCCTCTAACTCCATCATATTTACTACTTTCATGTCACTTTTATTTCCTTGTCATTTCCACTTATTTTCCCTTCTATAACACTACTACTACAGCAAATATCCGTGTCAACTAATCCGCCACCTCCCTCAATAACTTTTGCAATAACTTGAAAATCCACCTATTTACAAATGCTTTCCTTGACCCCCATAGTTTAATCCTCGTCTTGACCCCGAATGACCTTCTCCTCACCAGTCTTTCTCAGTCCAATTCATCTGACCTCATTACATGCAACCCTTTATTTTCTACATTCTCTTCTTCCCATCAGTGAGCCCACCACCCAGACATCGATGTGTCCTTCCCCCACTTACTGGCTTAAATACTGTCTGACTGACATGACCCCATTAAAAGTAATGCTTTAGTTATGTATAAAAACATTTAGTTATTTTACATTTTATTTATTTGGAATTTTTGATTTTATGGACTTATATTATTTCTATGTAAGTCAAACCTCTGAAACACCCAAACAAAACCACTACAATTGTTTCTGCATTACAATAGTTTAGGGTCATTTAGACTATGTTGTTTTTTAAAAGTCAAACTATACCCCACATGGTCATTTAAGAAGGCCCTTTATTCTATTACAATAATCAACATGTATTGAATTTCAACTGTGTGTAAAAATTATTAACATTAGTATTATTACTACCCAACTTGAATATGTACTTATATTTATTGTTCTTGGTTCATGTAAATTATCCGTATATTGCTAATAACTTGGAAAGATAGTTTTAATGCGAGTAATATCTAACTTAGAAAATATTAATTAAATTCTATAACAGTCTTCTATAAAACTTGCAACCTATATAGAACATATATAAGTATATTCATTGAAATTTAGGATTTTATTTATATCTTTGTTTCAACATAATATAATGTCTGAAAAATCACAGGATTTACTCAAAATAGTAAGCACATCTAAACACTATTAAGAAGTTTAGAAAAGGTTGGACACTATTTATCATAAAACTCACTGAAATCTGAAAACTAAATTATAGAAATTGATTTGACCAATACTTCTCTTCATGTAAGTAATTTACAATATTTTATTTTTATTTTGGTTTTGCATTCTTATATTATATATGTAACAGAACTGTCTGTATATTGATTACAATTATTTTCTCTCGATTTGTCTGTTTGTTCGGTTTATTTTCCTGCCTGCACAGTCCCTATGTGTTCACCTGTTAAACTACCGAAAGCCGCACGAAGGCGCAACCACTGGGAAGCTGGCGTGTGCCTCCAATTGATTTCCCTGCAGCTAGCGTTTGCCGTCAATTGTACCACCCAGTAACTGCGGTTAACTGCAGCTTAATTGACTGTTACTGGGTGGTCGCGGTTACACAAAGCCGCCACCCGGTGGCGGTGTTATGGAGCTCCCCGGACGGCCAGCGGTGCTTAGCCCAGAATCAGTGCACTAAAAGCGGATACTTTTACGTGCAGGCACCGCTGAGCCTCCAGCCTTCCCTGCTTCTAGTTCGGTTGTTTAACCGAACGCTGGATTGATCGGGACTTTACTTAAGTGAATGTTTTAACCCAGATAGCTATGCCATGGAGCCTATTTGTGTAATTAAAGACTTTGGCTCCATGGAAATTGAACTGCATGTGTGTGATCTGAGCGCTATTCGGTAGTTATGTGCGCTCAGATCCCAGCTATCTGGGGATATGTGACATGTATGGATTTGGTGTAATAAATGTAATATTATATGTTTTAATGTATTTTACTGTCTTTGTGTCCCCACGTGTATAATGAAGTTTTGCCTCTGTCCTGGGAGATAATTGGATTACTTCCCAATTATCTCCAGGATAGACGGAGGGAAATTAGGATGCATTGTGGGGATGTTTTACTTATGTGTGTATGAATGTGATACATGTCTGTCTGTGTTACCGTCTTCCATCTGGTCCCCTAGGGGAGTGTCCACCAGGTGGGAGATCTGCATAAATACCGGGCAGGTAGCCCTCAATAAACCTGACCACTGCTGGATCCTCAACACGGAGCTCTGTCTCATCT